ACTGAGATTACATAACAGTTCAATAATCTTTTTCTTTGTTTCTAACAAAATTTTCCTGTTTCTTAATAATTTGCTTAGCTTTTGGAAGGCATCTTTCGCTATCCCAATGCACCTTCGGATTTCAGTGTAGCATTTCCTGTCCTCTGTTAAAACACTTCCCAGATAATTAAAGTGTTGTAATTATTTGATTTTGGTTCGTAAAATAAAAGTCGAGATACCTCAGTTTCTTGATGTCTTGCAGTAATATTCTTTTTCTAAATCGGACGCTTTTAACAAGCAAATGGGTAAATCTTTTCCTTTTCTTCTTGTCACTTTTTTCCCTCTCCTAAATGGACTTTCCGTAAAATATGTTTTCCAAGTTATTTTTTTATTTAAAATCTACACGTATATTGTTTGAATTAAATGGTTGAATTTGGAGTGGTTGTGAGATCGTCCTATTTTAAATCTTAGACTGCAGAATCGTAAATGGTAACAGTAAGTTCTTCCAGGTAGCCTTCAAAATGTGGGTGATCCACAACTTCCTATCCTTTACAGCTCTTAGCAACGTTTGTTTGATTTTATTAACCCCCACCCCCTGTTCTGCCATCTATTTACACAAGCTCTTTATTATTCCCCCGCCCCCAACAAGCATTCAGTATGTCCTGTGAGTGTCAAAATTTCTAATCTTTCTTTTCTCATTATGTGTCCTGGAAATTTCAACTGTCACTTTCTCATTCTATAAGTATTCTTTTCATTTCCATTTCCCTTAAAACTTCCTCGTTGTTCACATGCTCTATCCATGTTATTCTCAATATTCGTATTATGTAGAACCACATTTTGGTTGTCATTGCTGATCTGCCTTCTCATGGTAGATTATGTCCTGATAAAACTTTAGTTCTTGGTTGAAAACAAGCGTACATTATGAAGCTTAGTCAAAACAAACATTATATAGATTTAGAAATCTGTCGTTAAAAATGCAATGTAATTAATAAATTTTCCCGGTTAAAAAAAAAAACGAACAAAATAATACATGTTCGGGAAACACAGGAGTTTACTAGAATTGCATAGTCAAAAGATTTCCACGAGTAAGTATGTATTTTGTTGTATTTTCAATGGAGACAAAAATCACATGTCTGACAATTGATTCTACGGAAGCTTTAAGTCGATGTCGTCTGCTTTCAATCAATTTTTATGCTGCTTTTTGTACACATTGGAAACAATAATTTTTCTACCGCCAATTTTAAAGTTTCCCTTGTTCTAAAATCTTTTATTAATTCATCTGTAATTTATTTTTTAATAAACAAATCAATTTTAAAATATTGAAAAAAATTCGAAATTTAACGTTTTGTAACATAAATGTGCTAATCAAATATATGTTACTACTACTGTAATATAAAAAATACAATATTACACTTCATTTTATTTTATAATCTAATAAAAAAAACTTATTATTACTTATTTATTTTATAAATCTTGAATTCAAATGTATGCAAATAATAAAAAAATGAGTTTTTAATTTTGATAATTTTTCATTACTTTTTTAAATATTGTTTTTATGCTTATTTTTCTAATATATATAAAAAAGTAGGAATTTGTTTTTGTAAGGCAAAAGCTGAAGTTTTGCATGGAAAAATGTTTGTAATTTTAAAACAAGTAAGTCTCCTTTATAAATTATTAAACAAAACAAAATGGTTATTTGTGTATTCTAAAAGAATATTCAAAATTCACTCCTTTCCTTTCCGAACTGTCTGTATACACGTTAATATAACTTTCTCTTCTTCTTTCATGGCCTTCATTGTTATTTATAAAGATATAAAATTCCCCCACGTGTTGGAATTCATTTCTTTTGAAAATACCGAATTCGTTTCTTTTTGAAACTTCTCAAAATCTTCGTCACAATTCTTAAACAAAGTAGCACCTCCTGCCTACAAACTGATGACCAACAGCAATCTTGTTCAATACAAATTGTAGCACCCGTTCGGTACAAGTATATTATTTCTGTAACATATCCCTTTTGTGTTCATATAATCAGGGCTTGTGCGTACTACCCACCGAACCTCCGACCAGGGAGGGGAAATTTGATTGCGGGCTCCAGGCAGTGCTTTGTGAGCTTGGCTATCTCATCGAAATTTGACTTTTTTTCTTCTTCCTACATTGATATACGTTACAAATTAAGCACAATTGCCCAGGAAAGGATGAAATCGCATTTTAACATAATTCTGGGCTCTTTTTTTCGTTCAAATCTGTGAATTTGTTTTTCTCATGCTAAGCCTCCAACCAACATCTTTTGAGGCCCTATTCTGTACTTGGTGACGGAAGGGTTTCCTTCTAGGCTAACCGTCTGGTCTTTAGTTTTTTTTGACATTCTGAGGAGAAACCAAGTACAAAACATACATTGGTATATTTCATGGTGAACCCAGGTCATACTGGGATTACAACAGATCAACTCTTCTTAGATCAAGGTTTCTGATGAATATTAAATTCAATTTAGATCCCTGGTATTACTTGGTGTGAATCATGCTGGGATCAAAGTGTAGTATCTGCTCTTGGGTAGATAAACTACATTTCATCTCTCAGCTGTGTCTCTCTCTGCAGACAGAGTGCAATTGAAAATATTAAACTGACCTTGTGTCAAATCCTGCCTGCAAGCGTGGAACAGCAAGAAAATTCAAAAATTTTTCGGCCAAGATCAAAGTGTAGTATCTGTTCTTGTCAGCTTAACCCTTTGAGCCCTGAACACCGCTTTAACAGTGGTAGAGAAAAATGACGCAATGCCCAGCCAACGGTTGAACGGTGGTTAAATACTTGTAACTTGAAGCATTATATACCATTATTTGTGAATTTTGACTCAGGCAGAAGTATTAAAATTGTTCAGGAACTCAGGGATCAAAGGGTTAATCTGCTTCTCTCGCTCTTTTATCTCTGTCTTTCTGTGATTTCCTGGAGCCAAATAGTGTCTTTTCCCCCACTTTCCACGCGATCAAAATGGAATCATCCATTATTTATAAAATATTGGCAGGCCGTAAAGATCAAAGCGAACTAACGAAGGGAGTGAGAAGCACAATTATAATAAGATATTTCATACACTAAATTTAACAACTATTATGGAACAGTTCTAACTTTATCCAGATTTAATTTTTTTAAATTTTACCAGTTTTAATGTAACTGAAATGATCACATTCAATTTGTAAATTATATTCCTACAATATCAAAATGCCCCTCCATTCACATCACACATGACGTGAGCGCACTGAAAAATAAATGCTTCTCGGCCTTTTGGCTGGGATCAAAGTGTAGTATCTGCTCTTGGGTGGATAAACTACATTTCATCTCTCAGTTGTGTCTCTCTCTGCGGACAGAGCACAACTGAAAATTTTATTGAGAGGTGCCCAATCATGGGAAACAGCTGCCCGTGGCAGTACCTTTCTCATTGCACTAAAGAGCAAGGATCGTTAGTCTGGATGCATGCACTTGGGCACCCCACATTAAACTGACCTTGTGTCACATCCTTCCTGCCAGCATGGAGTGGCAAGAATGTACAATTGTTTCTCGGCCTTTTGGTTAAGATCAAATCTGTTCTTGTCAGCTTAATCTGATTCTCTCTCTCTCTCTCTCTCTCTCTTCACCTCTGTCTTTCTTTAATTCTCTCATTGTAACCAAGTAAATGCCCCTCTCCTCTATTCACACCAATTCCTTGCATTTTTTTTTATTTCTATCTTTGTAGTGATGAGGAGGCAACTAATCAAAACTTTCACAAGTTAACTTTTCTTTCCCATATAAATTCTAGTAGCATTATGCCCGGCCTCCGTGACAGAAGGATGTGCAGGTGGTGCAATGCATGACCGCTCAGAATGAGAAATTGGAGAGCTGACTTCGAATTCCAGTCAGGTTTGTTATATTCACTTAGACGAAATAATGGATTATTTATTTATCAATCTGACAGATTTTTCTCATTTTAAATCTTATTTTTAGTGGATACTCATATTTGAGTAGACGATCTGTTTATTTATTAAACAGCATATTTATTTATTTTCATCTATCGACCTGAATATTTGAGAAATCTTATTTCTTATTTAAGATTTCTCAAATACTCAGGTCAATAGACCTTTATCCAAAATGTCCTTTTCTTCAATTTCAATAGACCTTTATCCAAATGTCCTTTCTTCTTTTTTAGACACAGACTCCTGAAGAAGGCCGACAGGTACAATGGTTGAAACGTGATAATTAAAATGAAGATGAAGAATGTAGTCTGAATATTGTAAGAAAAAAAGAACAGCAATTTTTTTTTCTTAAATTATAATATAAAATCAACTGATTATATAAAAAACAAGAAAAGATAATGTTTTAACCAAACTTTAATTTAAACGATTGGTTAGTAATGTGTGTGTGTGTATGTGTGTGTTCGAGAGTGGTTGGTAATGTGTAAAATTAAAAAATATAAATAATAATACATCAAAAGGTTAGCCACAGTTTGTCATGAGTGAGAGGTCAGGGGGATAGGAATTGGGTAGGTGTGGGGGTCAAAAGGTCAACTATAATATAGCAGTGTGATCAGATTTAAGTACGGTTTCTTTTTATATAAAGAATTTAATACTGTAACAGGGTTTAGGGAAATAAAGCACATCTGTAACTTGAGCCAGGAGAGAAAGAATAAGTTAACGACAAATGATGATATCTGTTATTGAATGAGATGGATGGCTGTTGAGTGGAAAGAAAGCGAGAAGGAATTTACTAAGATGGTGAGCAGAATTGTTTGCAAACTTGATGATTAGATTCTTTGTATTTACAATTCAGTATATTACAAGATATAAGGAATCAAAGTGAAGATATTAGGTTTGAAATCTGGGACAATAATTACCTATTTTTCATCTAGTATTTCTTTCATCTTGATTTCACTTACTTCTCAGTGCACCTCTCAAAACCTCCTTCCATGATCATTAATAAGGGACACAAGTAGGAAATAAAGCAAGATTTAAATTTGCATCCTTTATTCTTGGGAACCTATCTTAATAAAGCAGGATTATGGCCATATCGTATTGAAACACAGGTTCCCATACAATCACCAAAGTTAAGCAACATCAAGCATGGTCAGTATCCAGATGGGTGACTGTTTGGGAATACCAGGTGCTGTAAGCTTGGGTATGCAGCTTGTGTAATGAATAATGGATTGGAATTATTAATCGGAGAGTCGCGTTCCAATTCCATTTGGGTTAGTTTCCACCTCTTCTCCCTCCAGTTATGGGTTAATTAGTAAGACGTGTATCACTAAAACCATTATCTCAAAAATAAAAAAAATAAAAACTCTTAGAATCTAAAATGTTCTGGCTTTAAATAACCTGCAAAGGGTTAATAAGCCATAAAGAACGAATCAATCAAATAATTAGCTGTATTATTGATTATGCTACAAGCTGTGGCATGGTGGATTAATGGATGGTGGCTCAGATTGAGGAATCAGAGAGCCATGTTCAAATTCCAGTCGAATACATTGCATTCACTTGCATGCTAATACCCTTGAGAAAGGTATAAATCCTCTTCTTCTCCCCACCCAGATATGAGTAAATAGCTGAACAGACCAGGTTCTATAGCCTTGGATGGTAACTAGTCTACCACAGAAAGAAATGGCAACCTACTGCAGGAAAAAAATCTGCCTCGTCAGTCATGTATCGAAAGATACATGATTGCCTAAGTGTGTATCACGCAAGGCACATAACTGACTACAAGCTGTAATCATTCAAGCCTAATATATAATCTTGGTGATATTATTAGCAATAATTAATTCTTAGATGAAGCATTGCCAACTATTAATATTCTAAATCCAAACCCCAGGGTCTTCTCACTCCTGTTGGAGGAACCACACCCTGATTAACCATGTCTTCAGCAGTATAGCCATACTCGCTTCACTTGGCCAATTTCTGGTTGGTGAGGCTAGTTAACCCATAGTTGGAGGTTTTGAATTCAGAGTTGACTTTTTCCTAGACTGGTTGCCACCCAAGGCTATAGGACCCAGTCTGTCCTATTTACACATAGCTGGGTTGGGGTGGGAGGATAAGAGATAGATTCATACCTTTCCTAAGGATTTTTGCACTTAAGTGAATATAATGAATCCAATTGGAATTTGAACTGATCTCTCCAATTCCTCAATCTGAGCTCCTAACTATCACTCCACCATGCCTCCATTATTATTAACATTAACAGTGATAAACTTTTTACTTGCATTAATATATATATATATATATATATATATATATATACACACACACACAAATAAGAGAAAGAACAGATGGTGTAAGAATCCAGTTTGTAGTATTTACTTTCTAAAAAAAGTGCTCAATACAAAGTAGAGCCCTAATAAATCATTTTTATAATTAGTTATCTGCCATCACTTGAAGAAGATCTATTATAGTTCTGAAACATGAAAGTTTTTGTGTAGCAATGTAAAATGTTTTTATTCTATTATATATATATATATATATATATATATATATATATATGGAGATAAATAGATGCTGGCGAGTGCATATATATATATATATATATATATATATAGATAGATAGATAGATAGATACTGGAGAGTGCATATATATATATATATATATATATATATATATATATATATATAAAGAATCATTAAAAAAAAAATAAATATCCAAAGAAGTCTAATACAATTTGTACTGTTAGAAATGAAAAAATAATTAAATAATTTTACAATTGCAGTGTTTATATTTTCTACATGTGTAATCTAGTATTTTTATCTACACAATTAACTCTAATGTCTCATATAAGTAAGAATTCTGCTTTTTAGATCATTAAAAGTAAAAATTTACAAAGAAACACAACATGCCCAGTACCATCAAAAAATGATAGAAATATTTATGTAAATTTGAAAATGCATTGTTTATATTTCCCACAGGTGTAATCTTGGATTTTTTCTCTCTAATTAACTCAATTATTGTATGAGACAATAGAGTTAATTGTATAGATAAAAATAAATGAGTTAATAAATGTGAATGCTTCCTCTAAGAAAGTCTAGTTTATGAGATAAAGATGTGTATTTTTATATATCAAGAACAAATATGGGGGTGTCCGCTGAAGTCCTGAAGGATGAAACACATCACAAGAAAATATTTTCCACTTTGTCATACATTTTTCCTTAATAAGTTTATATAAAAAAAGAAGACAATGTATCCAGGAATATGGGTAAAATATAGAATAGCTATATTATTAGATTTGAATGTCTACAGCCAGTAGCTTTTGTGGCCCAATTGGTAGGGCAGCTGATATGCTAAGGTTTTCAAGAATAAAGTCTTGCTAGAGCCTTATACCTTATTTTCTGTCCATATTGCTTACAAACCAATCATGGAATGAGAATGTGAGACTTGCAAGAAAAAAAAAGTGTTATATTAATGATTTGTCTCTAGAAATTCAGTGGCTTACATAATCACAACAATTTAAACTGATTTTTCTGGCTTGAATTCATAACAATTTATGGTCTTATCAGTAGTATGCATTCTATATCAGGGTTTCCCAACCATTTTGGCAACATTGCCCACTTTCACATGGGAAAATTTTCCACTGCCCACCTGTATAGTAAATATTCAAAAACATAACAAAATTGTTTGGTAAAAGTTTGTTACTGGTTCATAAACTGACTTTATGATGTAGCAAAAAAATACCAAAAGGATGTAACAAATAATGCTGATTTATGTGGTGGCTGCTACTACCATATTTAAGGAACAAAAAAAAGCAAACATGATCATTGAAAACTATATATATAATTTAGTTTTATGGTCAAGATTAGTTTTATGGTTAGGGTTAACTTTGCAAGTGTTGACAAAAAATTAAACGACTTTTGTTCATAATTATAAAATTAAAAAAAGAATATACACTACTAGCAACTGATAAAAATTCTGTGAATATTTTTTGTTGTTCATAGTCTTCCCTTATCTAATTTATATCTGAAAGAAATGTTATTTCATCTGAAGAACTATTTGAATGTTAACGACTCTTCTTAAAACTATAGAAAATATTTGTTGTTTTCAGGGATATTTATATCTTACCCAGAAATGTGACCCATTTATTCCCAATTAGCCACCTGTTTTCTTTTTCTTTTACAGGTTTTTGCATATCTCCTTGAAATATTTTTGTAGCATATGTTGAAAAACATTTTTAATAATGAAAATCCTATATTGCCCACAAAAATTGCTCTTTGCCCACACAACAGTTGAAATTGGCCACTGGAGGGCAATATTGCCCAGGTTGGGAAACCCTGTTCTACATTCTTTATATATACAATCTTTGCCCTGTCACGTAAATGCTTACAGACTCGAATATAACTGACTGACATTTACCTATTTCTGAACTAAATAAATGTGTGGGTGGTGTAAAGGTTGGTAGATTAGAACAAGAAATTGGCAAGTACAGTTCAAATATAAGTTGAGTTCACTACATGTACTTTCACATAAATACCCTTGGAAAAAGGGATGAATTCATTTCCCCCCCCATCTGTGGGCCTCTCAGCCTTGTGTATAGGACTTGAGATGAAAAGAAGCAAATGCCTTACAGACTCAAATATGAGTGACTAATAGTCACTTACTCCCGAAACAAGGCAATGCTTATAGACTCAAATATAAACAGCAAATAATTACTTATCCCTGAATCAAGAAAATGCCAAGAGACTCAAATATAGACAACCAATATTTACCTACATCCAAACTAAAAAAATACTTACAAATATAAATGAGACATATATATCTACCCTTAAATGAAGTAAATGCTTTTAGACTCAAATATAATAATATATACTTAAGAATAAAAATTATTTCAACATTACATAATCCAATATAACAGTGTTTCTGAACATTTTTTACTTTAAGGTGCACTTATGTAAAAACAGTGCTTTGTGAATGATCAGCTTTATATATTATGCTTTGAGGAAAGCAAAGAGGAAAGGTTTATCCCTTCTTTATTAAAGATTAAAGAATTTAACATCCAGTTTAAAATATCAAATGACAAAGACTTGACTTCTCTAGCTTGCTTATAAATAAAGATTTTTAAATATAAAAATAATTCATATATTGCTCTTCTGTTAACTTGAGGCACTCATGGCTACCTTTCAGGTCACATCAGAGTGTCAGGAAGAACTGGTTGAGAAACACTGCAATATAGGCTGACATATTGCAAAATCAACCAACCCCATCCATAGGACTACAACATTATCAAGTGATGATGCTGTGACTCTTGTAGCAAGTATAAATTCAGAGTTGTCCTTCTCCTACACTGTTTGCCAACCAAGAATAGAGTGCTCAGTCTACCGTACTATTTCACCTACAGCTGGGTGAGGGGGGGGGAGAAATGGATTCATGCCTTCATGTGTGAAGTAAACAAATCAGACTTTGCTGAACTTACTGATTCGATTTTATGTGCCACTAACCAACATGCTACCTGCACATCCATATTCTGTAAGCTTTACATAAGTTTCATTAAAGACGACTGATAAGGTACTACAATTAAGTTTTTTATTCAATTTTTCTTATAAAAAAATAAGATAATAAAAACATAATCACAGTAAATTATCAGTTGTCTTTAATGAAACCTGTATAAAAGAGGAATTGGTGGCTAAATATACAATTATATATATATATATATATATATAGTAGTAATCGTTTGGTAAACCTCGGATAGCTCAACTTGCAGATATGTTAGGACAAATTGGTACCCAAGGAAAAAGTTGGAAATAAAAAAGAAAGAACTAAGAACATGAGAACAAGACGAAACAAATCGCCAAGTGCTTTAAGTCCTTACTCCAAAGAAAAAAAACCCCAAACGAATAGAAAGACTAAAACATAGAGTGCTCAATATGCAAAGTAGAGCAATAAACTAGAATAAATCCTAAGGAGCCAGGCAAACTTTCCTAGGTTTCACCTAAACGGATCTTCAGGGTAAACTGAATAGCCAGTTTACCCTGAAGATCCATTTAGGTGAAACCTAGGTAGGTTTGCCTGGCACCTTAGGATTTATTCTAGTACATAAATAAATATATATATATATATATATATATATATATCAGAAAAGAAATATACAAATATTATACACATGTACAGACATATACATTCCAACCCCCTGAAGAAGGCCAG